ATGTAGGACAGATAGTGCCTTATTTTTATGGATGAGTTTACAATTATGAGTTTGCGGAATAATTGAATTGTATTCTGGGAACTCATGAGGCACGTATTTCATATAACAGGTTTTATGTTTCAATTTAAGTGACCATCCATAGTTACGCACAGTTGATTGTCGATAGCAGAGCAAACCAGATTCTTTTGAAGCTGTTAGCGCTTTTGGTTCAACTTATATCTGCGAACCTTTTTTTTCGAAAACGAAATTGAAGTTTATATTTATATATCGAAAATTTCGTTTATATTTAAATATTTTTTATCTTTCATTCTTAGTGTTATATATTTTTATGGGGATATATAATTTTATATGCGACCAGCGGAGTTAGGATGTCTTTCCAAAGTGGCCCGCAAGATCATCGGGGTTGCCCAACCCTGAGTTACAGTGTAGGCTCACGCTCTTTGTTAACTTCTCCCATCCTGATAGAAAAATATTTCAATCGAAACTGAACGCTTTCACAACAGTTAATAAACCAAATCCTTGCTCGATAATTTCGTTTATTTAGTGAACATTATAAACACCTGAAGCCAAAAAAAAAAATAAGAAGGTTATTAAATCACTGTTGTCAACAAGTCAAGATTGAACTCAAAAATTAACCGTAGTAGGTAAAAAAAAAAAAAAAAAAATGCGTTAACATATGAACGTTATTCAATCCAGAATCTCGTTCGATAGAGAGGATGGTAGTACAAGATTTATAGATACAATGCGATTACTTTGAAAGGGCACGAATCAAAACAAGAAGATCAAATTTTCGAAATAGGCTTTTAACCTTTTTTTGACCTATATGGAAGCAGTAATCGGATCGTTTTCTTTTTTTCTCCAGCTTGGTTAGCCATTTATCACAGAAAAATGATGAGGGATCATTTTATAAAAGATATTTATGAAAGTTTTTCCTGGACACAGACGATAAAAAATGAAAAACATTTCGAATAGGTCTTTAAAGCGATTGGTGTTTTGGCAATCACTTTATTAAAATTTTTTCATTCTCAATTTTTTCAAAAAATCGCGGAAATCAAGCCATTATTCATATGCACAATTCATTTGTGACATTTAACTATAAAATGATCAGAAAAAAGCCATTTTAACAAATAAAACATTTCTACAGCTATAAATTCTAAATGAATAGTTAAACCTAGAATATGAATTATTTCCACATTGCATACTGTTTTTATGAAATAATTTGGCCCAATAGAAATAGATAAAAATATATTTGTTCTGAAAAATGTAATGCTTAATCAATCTTAAATATTCATTTAAAATCTTAAATATTCATTATTCTTCATTTTTAAAGTTTGTGCAAGTACGAGAGGCCCCACGTTGGGAGCCTGTTTGTAGTCGAAAATCGGTTTGTTTGTTTATGCAGATGGATTTGGATGTGGTGAAGTTGATATTTACGTTTTACAGTTGGCAACTTTATTTTTACACAGCGCACAAGCACGAGCATGACACACTACAATCATTAATATACAACAGACATTTAAAGACACATGTAAGTGGAAGGATTCAACTTAAGCTGTAAATAAATTTACTCAGATACACGCTGGATAGCGAAATAGACTTCCTCTCTGGATGAAAGTCTGTAGGCTAATTGATGAACAGGATACGGCTAGCTATATATTCTCACGGGATGAGAGCTGATAATTAATGGCAGCGCCCGTTTTGCTGTGCGTTCTCTTTGGCGAGAGTCTTGAAGCCTACTGGCGATTTCTTCTGAACTCCGCAAGGGGCGCTCGCTCTTGCAGTGTGTAGGTGGAAACAGGGTTGGGTAGGTGGAAGAATGTTTACAAGTTATCGATCCATCAATATCCTCGAGCACATTTTTTGTAAATATTGTCCAAATTAATCATGTCCTTACGTGTCAAATCAGAAATGCAATGAGTACGATGCAAAGGTAAACTAGAGTAACATTTCAAATGGAATATATATATAATAACATAATTTAAAATCAATCTTTATCGATATAAATAAGTTGCAAGAAATACGATAAATATAAAAAATGTGAAACGAAATTAAGGCATCCTTTATTAATTAATAGTTACACATGATAATGCTATAAAAGAACAAGTTATCTTATGTCTTATCTTTCGTGTAACTGTGGTTCCACCTACGCAATCATGTTTCTTCTGAACGCCACAAGAGGCGCAGAGAAACATTATTGTGTAGGATGGTTCCACTTAAGCAACCAGGTTTCTTCCTATGCACTTTCTTTTTTTTGCTGCGTTCAGAAGAAATCATCAGTAGGCATCGAGACTCACGCCAGAGAGGACGTACGGCAAAACAGGCGCTGCGTTAGTTACGAGCGCTCATCCCGAGTGCTGCCACAGAGACGTTTAGTTTGCAATCTCTCTTGGGGCCAGAGGGCCGTTTAACCAGCGCTCTGGCACTCTGTGCCACATGTTTCGGGTTCTAGTCCCGGCGATGCCATGGATGTTTTGTAGTGGCTCGGAATCCACCTCAGACCGTAGTTCTCGGCCTAATATGACTGTAGAACATTGGGCGTAGTACTGACAATACTATCGCGTAAAAAACATCTTTCTAGAAATCTGCCAGAGAGCATACAGACTTGGGCAACCATGGGTCTGTTGCCCCCTGATGATGATAATGATGATTATAAAGGTTTAAAAATTATCTTTTATATTCTAAATTTTTTCTACTAATAAATAGTGATTGAGGATAATTTTTCTTCCTTAATTAACCAAATGATACTTCACTATTATTATGAAACGATAGCGATTGTCAAGTGATCCTTCGTAATTTTCCCCCCATATATTTTCCAACAAAATAAACCAAAACTAAAACTGTCTTCTATTGTGTGGCAGGAACAAAGTGGAAATACTAGTAGTTTAATATAAGAGAAGCATTAATGAAACAAAACTTAGTGCATTTGTAACTCAGATGAAAGTATATTTGCTTTAATAAATGGTATTACCCTAATAAATAAGCAAAATGCTACATAAAATACAAAAAGTTTCAATAACAATTGTTCCTTATTAGACTTGCGAATCTTATCAGCCGGCATACTTCTCCACTTGAAGCCGTATGGACATTCAATGAATAAAGGTCCTCATCTCAAATGATACTCGATCTCTTCTTAACTGCGACCGTGATTAAAGGCTTTGCGGACGCCTTTTATCGCCCATCAATGGCCTCCTGTCAATCAGGTATCTTCAGACCTCTTTGAAATCACCGCCCATCCACTTGGAGGGAACGTTTTATCTGTTTATTCTCAAAATGGCTCCTTCACTTCTGTTTATTTATTTAAAACAAATTCGAGAAAATTTCACACCAGATATTCACTCATTTCTTGAGAGTTTTCGATCTGTAATGTTTCTATGCCAAATTATTGAAATGTTTATTTTTCTCTGTAATTAAAATTTGAAATTTTGTAAAATTTCCAAGTCTGCTTTTGGAGAAGGAATGTAAAGTGAAGCTGTTTAAACTAGATTGATATCGCATTTATAATTAATAAATTTATTATTTGTTGATTAGATTTATTGAACTTTTAATATATTGATGGCAATGAGTCTTGTACTTTTTTGCATGCCAATTGCTTTTAGATTTTGGGGTGTCAGACACACACACACATATATTTATGTATATATGTATATATACATATAACATATATGCATTAAAGTTCCATTCTCAAAAGCTGTCAAAAAAGAACCCGATATGCGACACGCTGTTGATGCAGTCCGCGTGTGCGATGTGTTACCAAATGTTATACACAGACAAATAGTTTATTTATTTATTCTTTTTTGGCGCAGTCTAATTCTTAATTACTGACCTAATCGGCCGTCTGTTATAAAATTTTAAAAATATTTACTATACAACTTACGCATTATTTTTTTGTACATGGTCGAAGAACTACATATCGAAAGTAACACATATTTTCTTTAATTTCAAGGATTATTTTACCTAAAAAATGTAAGGGAATGAAAGAGTGTCCATTTTCATTAAGTTATTTATTATAATCATTTAACTCGCATAAAATTTCACAAAGATTACTGACCTGAAAATTTAAAATTTCAATAAATGTCTAGCTTAAGAATAAAAAAAAATTGCTAGAGATATTTTCTTAATTTAAAATTCAATAACTAATACCAAACATTTGACAACTTATGAAACTTGAATTCGGGCAAGAGAATACAAAATTAAAAGCTATCCATCATATTATTTGGGATCGAATGACTTATCGCCCAACATCTATTTGCCAAGCCTACACGAAGGAGAACAAATGCGTCTGCATGGTGTGTGCTCTTGATACATTTCTGTCATCCCAGTAAATGATCGTGGCCACCAAGTCATTTGTCATGGAAAAAAAGAAACCCCATCTCTTCGACGACGGTCATTTATCATGGTGCCCGGTAATGAATTCAGAAAATCGTCGCATTGAAATTGACATAAATGCAGAAATATTTACACCCCAGTGGCCACTCGGAATAAAAGTATGGGCACAGATCCGTGGCAAAGTTATGGCGCATCTCATATCAACACAATTGAAACCGACGATTCTGATTTTGTTGCGAAAAAGCTATTGCTCAAATCTTTCAAAAATGCTTTTTTAAAAAATTTACTGTAGATTCTTTTGAATAGAAATCATCATTGTTATTTTGTAAACGATAGAATGGGAATAATTGCACACATAAAAAAGTTATATTTATTAGTGTGAATGTAATTTAAAGACATTATTGAATTGGGTTTGTCATAAGTAAACATACAATCGAAAAAGAAATATCAAATGAAAAATTTTATATGAGTAATAAGTGTTCTTTGAATTTTTTAAAGGTTATTTGATTTCCTAATTAGTAACAGAGGATAATGAATTCAATCTAAGATAGTAACAATACAAAATTCTTTTTTTTTTATCTTCATAAAAGTTTGAATACAAAAAAAAAAAAATCCAGACTTGGAAAAAAATGGCAATCTATGCTGTATTAATAAATATAATATAAAAATATAGAGGTCTGATGGCCGAGTGGCTGGGGCGCTCTGCACTCGGTAACACAGAGTTCGAGTCCGGCGATGCCACGGATGTTTGCAGTGGTTCGAATCCACTTTAAACCGTAGGCCCGGTCTAATAGGATCGTAGAGCGTTGCGGATGTATTGTTATTCCACGTCCATAGCTTATCTTCAAGCTTCACATGTTCGTCTGTGTAGTGCTAAGTGAGTAACATCGGTGCAGCGCTTGCTTATGGCATCAAAGACAACTGTCTAAGTATTTACCAGCTGCATTAGGAAAAAAAACTATAAAAATATTCTAAATGAAATTAACTATAAACATTTTTTTAAATAAAACCATAACTTTTAGGTTAGCGTCTCGCATTGTGAGTCACATTACCTGGTCTGAGTTCTCCGGGTTGTGTCCCGTATATCAAGTAAACCCGAGATAATTACTTCTTAAATGTCCTCCCCCTGAATGTTCGTTGGGGGGCCTAAGTCCCACTAATGCTCAACCTAAGAAACAACTTTTTCTTTAAAAGTAACAAATAGGGTTGCTAAAAATAACTGGAGTCGAATTCGCAGCTATTTTTAACGCTCTTATAAAGTTTGAATTAGCATATTTATGATTCAAGACCACAATCTCATTTTTCTCGTGGCTTAGGTTAAAACATGCGTAGCTACCATGAAAGAATGACCCTGGTTGGAAACTTTAGTGGCATCTGTTGTATTTATTACTTTTAGAAACCATTATATCGATGGAGATCATGTATATGCGCCTCACATCGACTCTAATTTATCCTTATGTACAAGTTATATAATTTTCAGGAGACATCTGCCCCTTGGATTATGTCGAAACTCAACTCCTCACCCCCCTTTTTTCCAATTCCTTCTGTTAGCTCACACTCTCCCTATATATATCTTGTTCAAATTTTCAATCGTTCATAAAATACTTCGGATTCATCCACTCGAGTTCAAATGCATTCTTTTTTTGAACTTGTAGTGGATGACACTTCATGTTAATACAAATATTAATTCAGTAATTAAATTTAATTCATTAATTTTAGGTTTTTTACATTTAAGTTGCATGTATCTACCCATAGATGGCGCCAGATAAACTTAAAAAAATGAATGAGAATTATTTATAAAGGACTTTTTGCAATAGAGTGTGAAAAAGTAGGAATTGACTTAAATTTTTTTTTTTATATTACTTGTTTACAACTCCAGTTGATCCAGTTTTTTATGAAGTATGCATTAAAGAATCGTATAAGTAAAGTATAAATAAGTTATTTGTATAAGTGAAGTATGTATTAAATAATCGATATATTTCAAAAAATATAAAAAAAGGTATATATAATATAAAGTAGAAAATATAAATGTAATTCGATGTATTAAAGGAATGCAGAATCAC